GGGGTAAAGTTTTTGCCGCGCCCCTCAAATTTTTTTGCGGGCCGGCCGCGTTTGAGGGGTCTGTTCGGGCGGGATTTTCCGCACCGACCCGCATTTTGGCGGTTATTTTGCGGGTCGGGGCTTTTTGTGGGGTCTACTAGAGTTGCTCTTAACTAGTCAATGTGTAACGTATTGCTTCCTCATTGAACGAGGCATATTAAAGTGAAAGAAGTTCCAGGTCGAGTCCCGAGAAGGTGATAGTTGATTTTGATCATGAAGTTCGCACTGGACTTTGGAATTGATTCTGGACCCCCACCTGCTCAGGACGCCCCGCCTGCTCAGGACGATCCCATTACGGATTTTCTGGAGGGGGACACGCTTGACCCAGCACAAAAACGGGAATTCAGAAATATTCTGAATTTCTTGAAGACCAAAAGCACATTAATTTGGAAGTATATTAAGTGTGTGCGGATATTAAGTAGGATATTATTTGCGTGTTATTATGTGATTAACACTATATTTGACATGAAATTAGCTGTACGCTAAATGTGTTGAGCGTTGGACATCGAAGCAATCTAGGTCGTTGGATTGACATGATTTGATGGCCGAGATTAATTGAATCAGCACCTTTGGGTCTTTTTATATTGGTATAGATAAACACGGATTTTTGCCTCAAAAGGAAACACGGATTCGAACCCCCCCCCCCCTGGTTTACACATGATTTTTTTGTTAAAAAATATATGAAATAAACATGGAAAACATGCTATAATCTTCTTCTAATGTAAACACCCCTTAAAACATCCTTCTTGTTTTTTGTCCAGGCGGGGGGCACGGCCCCTGCAGGCTATAACGTAGCTCAACCTCTGGGTAGGAAGAGTTGATATATGTAAGGTTAGGCATGAGGTCGCAAACACGCGTGACAGTGCGATGTGCAAAACTTGAGCATTACATGAAGAGGGATGCTCGGCCCCAAATGTAAAAAAATTAAGTAATCTAGAGGCGCGCCTCATTGCGGATGGTTTTAGTGACGCGGGTGATGTAGGGTTGATGGGTCGAAGGTAAAGTTGTTCAGGTGTTTCCAAAGCCACCATGCAGTGAGGGAGATGATGGAGGTGAATCTCTTGCACATCGAAGCCGGTGTCAAGAGGTAGGAAGTGGCCCACTATTCGACGTCAACGGAGATGAGGGTTGTTGTGAGCCTACAACACGAGAGGATCTCCTGCCACACTTGGCGAGAGAAGGGGCACCCACTGAGAAAATGTTGCATATGCTCGAGAGCTAGAGTGCGGAACTTAGATGAGCATGTATGTATTTGCTTTCACCCCCGATTTATTTCGAGGCCATGTAACATGCATCTTTGTGGTGGTGGAAGCATTTTTTTATATATATTGATATACTCCCTCCATCCCATGATATAAGAGCGTTTTTGACATTATACTTATTTCATTGTGAGATGAAAACATTGTTTTTTCTTCTCTAATCAAACTAAATTTCTGTTTGATGGCACATTTTCCCTTACCGATAAAACATTATCTCAGTGATGTGTGAACAACATTTCCACTCCATGGACTTTCATTCTTCGTAGTGAAAAATATTTCTTCATTTGAGGTAACATCTTTGCGTACATTGTAATGCAAGCAAAACCATCTGAGGCAAGCTAATTCTTCAGAGAGCCTCCAAATAAGTTCTTTCAAGCATTTTCCCAACAATGCCGAGAAATTTAACAACCATTTTCTACCAGTCCAGTTGCTTCG